AATGTTGGAAATTGTTGTAAACAAGCCTTTTCAAGATCACTTTAAAAAGTAACAATGTTATGTTTGCCAAAAATATATAATCTGAATTTAAGCACAAGGGAACATCAAACCAATCCAAATCAACCGACACTCTACGAAATAACAGGTCAGTGCTTTTTCAAACTGTGTAAGAGACAAAGGAAGACGGACCAAATGTCCCAGATTAACAGAGACTGAGAAATCATGACAACTAAATGTTTTGTGGTGCTGGATTGGATTGTACACAAGAAAAGGGACATTCGTGTTTCTTTTGAAGGGAGTCTCACTTACTTCAGTTATTTTGGTCTCAACCAAAACCCCAGAAATACCTCAGTTATAGTGAAAACAATCTTTACTAGACAAAGTATGATCCTTCTTAAAGATTTTTGGGGCCAGGATATTAGCACACATGAGCTTGAGAGTCAGTATATATTTTTTACATCCAAAACTTTTGTTTTATAAGTATAAAAGTGAAATTTGTTTTTAAAAATATCTTTAAAAATTGATTTTGTTCTTAAAAAAATATATTTCCTAAAGTAAGGTTGATATACTTTATCAACTTTGCTGCTTCCTGGCTGTTTCAAGGGTATTTTGAAAGGGAAACTCAGTGTCTTAACTCAGCCATAGATATATAAGTACATTCTTCTAATTGATGCTTGAATCTGAACTATCAGCCATTATTATAATACACAACAAACAGAAGACTAATAACCCCATCTTGTAGGTACCAGGCCCTTTCACATCAATGCAATCAACTGCATATTTTGCTTGATTACTGTGAAGGCTGGTGTGGGCACATTGCTTACAGTGCATTTTGCTACCACTATGTGGATTATAAAAGCACCCCAAATGTACTGACCAAACAAAATTGGCATGGGGGTGAACCATTAAAAATGAACTGCATAGGGCCGGCTGAGTGGCGCGATGGTTAAGAACTCGCTTGGGATGCCAGAGGGCCCCGGTTCGGATCCCACATATGAGGGCCAGTGACACTGCCCTCCACAGCTAAGATGCTGAACAACAGCTCAACCTGGAGCTGGGCTGCTGTGAGTCGCCGGCGACGGCGTGGGCTGCAGCCCCTGCTGCAGTGGGTTACCATGGGCTACCGTATGTAGCCAGTAGCCAGCGTGAGCAGCCAGCAGCCGCAGTGAGCAGCAGTCCAGAAGCCGGCGACTGATCTGCCTCACCCGGGAAGAGCGAAATGATGGTGCCAACTTGGGCCAGTGAAGCAACATCCTCCACAACTAGACTGAAGAACAAAACGACAGCAACTTGTCTGTCCCCCTTCCCCCAATTCCCCAGCACTGTTCTCATCCCCCCAATTCACCAATAAAAAAAAAAATCTTTAAAAAAAAAAAATGAACTGCATAATGATGAAAACTGTACAACTTCAGCGTATTCACAATGGTTAATGCAATCACATCCCAAGTATGTCCACTCTTGGCAGAGCTTCCAAACGCTAATGCCAGAAAACATTATTCTTTTTCAAAACATGAACTCCATATTCAAAAGTCTGATAAATGGTGAGCCTTAAAATCTCTTGGCAATGGATTTGAGCAACTAATTATTTAATTTTAAAAATCGAGCTGGGTAAACTAAAACTATGCAGCTGTCTCAGCCACATGTAATTGTTAGAGTCATCGATACCAAAATTTTAGGAGGAATTCTAGAACATACGTTCTCTCCCGCTGTCCTTCGGCGGGCATTCCCGTCCGCTGCCTGCCAAGGCAACAGTGTTGTGGGTTCCTGGGACCCTGTGCTGACAGTAGGGCCCTCCCTCTGCAGCCATGCCAGCTCCTGTAGCCACACTGGCTACAGAGGGGCCTCCCAACCTCCCAGGGAGCTTGGCAACAGCCCCAAAGGAATGCCCGCTCCCTGAGCTCCAGCGCAGAAGGACAAAGCACTTCTGCCCCCTCCTCCTCCTTCTTTGATGCCTGCACTCCTCAGGGAAGTTCAAACCAACCAGAGAACTGTTTTAACTATGTTAAAATATATGTCTAGTTAGTGGTTTTGGTCAAAGGAAACCTATTTTTTTTTTATTAAGAAACATATGTTTATCAAAGAGAAGACATAACAATACCCATAGCTGAACCTTCTAAAGTCCTACTTCAGCATTTTGCTCGTTATGCTCTGTCTTATTTTATTCAAAGGTTTTTTACTATCATTATAACATTACTGTATATTCATATGTTCCTAACACTATAGCATAAGCAGCTTTCTAGGTTAACAGTCTTATAAACAAATAGCTGTTTAATATCCCAAGTACCTATAATATAACTTGTTTTACTTAACTGGTTCCTTGTCATTGAACTTGTCGATTCACTTTTAAAATAATTTATTCCTTGAGTATGTGCTACATTCAAGTCAGTGGGTTAAATACTGTAAGCACTATTTATATATGAAAAAGTGGCTACTCCCAGAATACTCTTCAGAACTACAAAAGGTACAAACACATACATGTAACATATATGGCATATGCATGTTTACACTTGCTACATGTGTCCCTAAGCCATTTGATTCTTTTTAAATACGCTTATAGGATTGAAATATTCTAATGTCCTTTCCATGTATTCCTTTTATTGCTAAGTTTTCCTATCCTTCTCTGCTAGATTTGCCTTATCACGACTGATCAGAAAATCTTTAAAGTGGTCACAAAAGAAAATCTGAGCATCATTAGATATTTTATCTTAAAAAAAAACCCCAACCAAAAATATTAACTACACCTGAATTTTATACAAAATTGCTGTATGATGTTATATGCGCTGGTCACCTGGGGAGGGTAATAATTTGCTGTGGTTTTCTTTGGGTGGTGGGACCATGCGAGAGGAGCAGATATCTGGAAAGAGTTGTCTTAGAGCCACAGAGACAGATACAAATCTTCCTTTCAGCCCTAACTAGCTGTGTGATCTTGGGGAAAATTACTTAAATCTCACTGTGCCGCAATTTTGTACAAAGTATTACCGGTAGTAATATTTACCTTGCAGGGTGGATGTAAATTTCCCAGAAAAATCTATGTAAGGGCCAAGCATGTGCCTGGCATACAATAGACACTAAATATGTTTATCTTTACAGTGAGCATATATTCTGTTTCTAAAAGACAAACATAACTATATACAGAAAAAATTTAAGGGGAAAATTTGATTTACTTGGCTTTACTTCTACAAGTGAATTTGTAATTCATTACTCATTTCCTTAGTGAAGAGTCTAAGTCTTGAAAATTCAAGAATCCAGAAATGTGGAGGACAGTCCCCTGAGACTGACCATGACCACCTCATAACCCAGCTCCTAACATGTAGTTAATCCCATGTCTTGCCTCCTTTCTGTGTATTTGTGAATATGTACCAAAGAGGATGGAGTGAATACCCAGTGGGGAAAGCATTCTCCAGTCATGCTTTGTGGGAATTTACTCCCCTTTCCAGTTCTCACCTCAGCCTTCGATTTCATAGGGGAGCAAACTATCCCTCTGCTGCTCTGTCAGCAGGTAGGATTAAGTGCTCATCTTCTAGGAAAGCAGACATTCCCCCAGAGACACAGTGGAGTGCAAACATGGGTTCTGGATCGGGAACCCTTTGCCACACACTTTATACTGGAGCTCTGACACACTCAGTCTTCTCTGAATGGGAACGCAATTTCCTGGCTAATGAGGGATTCCCTGAAGAGTGCCTCCAGAAGTTAATACATATCTGATTACTAGAGGTGACTGAACACTAAGTGTTCCCAGGGGCCTTACACGTGCCTGGAATTCTCATTTTTCCCATTTGAGCCAAACTGGAGTTGAAAACTTGTAAACAATTATATGATATCAACCATCTTCACTCTTTCAGAGTAATTAAACCATCATCAAAATAGACATACTATTCCCAGGGCTAAAAAATCTTAGATTCCCCCCCCCCTCCCCCCATGGGGCCTAGATAAGTTTAGACCTCTGAATAGTGTCTCAGGGCTGGTCTGGGCCTCCATGGGGCAGTGGGCGGGGGAGTGAGCAGGGAGTGGGGAAACTGCTCTGGGCTAAATGTAAGACAGCCTGGAAAGCTGTGTGTTTCACAAACTGCCTATAGAACTGGCAGGCGCACAAAAATTTCCCTAAAACGTATATCATTTTTGGAGTTGTATGCAGAGAGAATTTCAAAAAATATCTAATCTCAAAAGAACCTGTAATATACGTATTTTGTCTTTGTTTTCAAACTTTCTAAACTCAAGTTGTTTCCTTGCCTTTAGGGTTGTAGGGTCACTGTTATGGTGACTTCAGATGCCAATGTGATAACAATACACACCAAAGCACATAAAACTTAATTTCAAAAGGTTATTTTGGAAGCTATCCTTTGCACTTGCCGTTCCTTTACCCAAAAAACTCTAACCCCAGACATATGTGCATGGTCCATTCCTTCACTTAATCTGGGTCTCTGCTCAAATGTTCCCTTACTGGAGAAGCCTTCCTGACTATTCCATTTGAAGTAGCACACACTCAAACGCAAGCTCCACGTCACCTTAGGATGCTTTATTTGTCTTATTCTCATTTTTCTTTCTCACATTATAGAAGCACTTATTTTCCGTCCTCCCCTCACTGCCAAAGTAAGCTCCATGAAGAAGGAACTTTTGTTTTGTCACTACTATGTCCCAGCAGTTCTTCACTGAGTTCCTGAACACGTGATCAGTGTTCAATAAATATTTGTCACAGGAATGAACGAACTGCAGATGTTTTAACCAAGTGCCATACATCTGCAATTCTCTTCCCAGCAAGATACAAACTCAAACAAAGCTCCTGAGACTCACACACCAGGCTAACACGAACATCTCCTTAGATGTCTTTGTTGCAGCTTATGAAGCAAATGTACCATGTGAGCTACCCCAAGAGTTTACAAAAAGCAAGTTTCTCTTGTAATGTTCCCAGGCTATAATACTCAGAAACACACAACTTGCAGCCCTCCCCCCATAATCACAAATGTTTTCATGCTCACAGAAACCTAGATCTCTTTTCTTACCATACTGATCAGAATTGCTGGTGAAGAGAAGATAGTCAGAAGCACAGGTCTGGGACTCAATATCCAAATCTCCTAACCTCAGAATCAATCTCTTCCCCTTCGGTACTGTGATTGTCTTTTCACAAACAGTGTGGTTGGGATAAGTCCCTGGATAATTCTTAGATGTCATGGTGCCGCTGTCCTGATAGGTCACTATGTGCCCACAGCCATCACCTGTTAAAGAAAAAAGATGAAAGAAGTGAAATTAACTCCTATTGCTAAGAACCTTCTTTGGAGAGAGGGAAAAGCTAAAAAATATATAAAATAATAAGATTAAATTATTAAACAGTATCTATTGTTTCAGGTTATTTCATCTCGTTTCCAGGTTTAATCTTCTGAACACTGTTGATCGAGTGTTTGATATTTTAGAATGGGAAGCCCTTAGCAAACACGTCATTTAATCATATTATTTTTTCTAATCATCTATCTACCCACCGAAACTTGCACAGTAGGCCCTTGGCATTTACAGCTTTGCCATTTGTAGCTTTGTCTATTAGCAAGCCAACGTCACGTAGAAATTTGCAATGGAGAAAATAATATTGCTTACTTCAGAGGGTTACTGTGCTAATTAAACAAGATAATATACATAAAATTTATACCACTGGTAGAATCTGAAACTTAGGCTGAGAGGATTTTAAGAGCCTGTCATTTAGCTGGGAGATAACAATCATTGGACATTCATGTCTCAGTTAATGACAGTCACAGATTTGATGGTTTCCTGACAGACTCTGGGTGTATCATTAGAGAATGCCAAGGATCTCCTGTATTGAGTGCTTGTCACACATCAGACACAGTGCTATTGGAGACACCAGAAACAGCAGTGGCTACTACACAGAACTCAGAGTAAAACAGGAGACAGTCACATGTTCAAATAGCTACAACACTAGGTGCTATGTGCCATTTCGGGAAATTAAACAAAGTGCTGAGGAAGACGAGAGAATCTATTTCAGTGAATTATCACTACTTCACTAAACCAAGAAATTTTCTGAAGGCTTCTCTGAATAGGGAAGTTCATCAATTGATCAACAAGTTGCTCTAGTGGATTAAAGTGACCAAGTTCACCACTTAAAGGCCATGCATAAGTGGGTGGGCTGCAAGGCAAATGAGCATACATTGCATTCAAATTGCAAAATGCTAGTGGTTGATGTGGCATCACGTAAACATAGTAAGAATTTCTCCAGCAGTAATCAGTTGGAGAAAGAGCTCTCTAAGGAAGTCAAACAACGCCTCTCCAAGGAAGCCCCGACTGGGGCATACTGAGAACCTGAAGACCAAGGCAGCCTTCTTCCTTCCCCTGCCTCACCGCTAGCTAGAGGATTCACCTGGGGGCTTTCTTTATTCCACTTCCTTCTTGCAGCCCAAATGATAATGGAGGCCTAGT